AGCGCCCGCAGCACCTCGTCCTTCCCTTCCCACAACCGCCCTGGCAGTAAGTCCAGCAGCTCCCCCACCAGCCTCCTCGCGTGCAGCCTCAGCCCTCCGCGGCCCAGGCCCTCGCTCAGAGAGGCCAGGGCCTTCAAAGCGGCCCTCCTCCCCGACCACGACGACGACCTCAGCTCCCTTTCCACCTCTGTACACAGCTCATCACCCAGGGCTTTGGTCGTGTTCCCTCCACCTTTCCCCAGCGCCGCACAGCCCTCCATCCAGATCTCCTGCCACGCTTTCCGTACCTCGCCCTCCCCTCCTTCCTCTTCCTCAAAGCGGCCGACGTAGGCCAAGGGCAACACCGCCGCCCACGCCGCTTCCTCAAGGCCCTCCCCCGCGGCCGTGCAAAGCTGTCGAAGCGCCAAGACCACGGGGAGTCGTTGCGATCGATGCGTGGCCAAGTCTGCTACCCGTCGGTACTCTCGGAGCAGGCGGAGGATCGCGCGCCGGACCTCTTCCCCCCCCGGAGCCAGCTTGGCCACGCCGGCGAGGGCAGAGAGGAAAAAGCGCTGGGCGGTGCTGCTCCGCTCAGCCAGGGCCCCGGCGGCAAGGACGCGAAGGAGGGCGGGGAGATGGACTTTGAGCTCGGGCCGGAAGCGGGTGCTCAGGACCAGGACTAAATTGGCGGCGCAACAGCGCGTGTTGAGGCCGACGCCAGACCGGAGTTGGAGGAGGAGGGAGGGCATAAACCGGGAGAGGGAGGGGCCGTCGAGTTCTTTCATGCAGATGTCGAGGGCTTCTTGAAGGGGGCCGCTACGAGAGAGACCGTAGCGGAGTTGCTGGTATGGGACGGGAGGATGGGGATCAAGGACGTGTAAGGGCGGCTCGTTGGCATCAATGAATGGGGTAAGACGTGCGATTTTACGCAATGTCGTGACGTGTCCTGTCATGAGAAAAAAAGAGTACACGCCCCTTGGCTCCCCTCGAACCACCTCCCTCTCTCGCCCCGAGCCGCGCCCCACCCGCCTACCTCCATCGCCTCCTCAGTCATGTCCATGCTCCGGGCGTGGAACTGCATGTACTGGAGCTGCGCCGGCTCTATCGCCGACTGTGCCTCGATCAAGGCGCTCATCAGCTCGGGCAAGTAGGGCCTCAGACATGCGCCCGCCCCTTTGACCACCCTCAGAAGCACCAAGACCGCCACCCCCTGCACCTCTTTTGCCTTGCTCGGCAGCCCCTGCGAGAGCAAAAGCGGAAGGATCACTCGCACCACCTCCTCCACCTCCGCCGCGGGACTCTCCTGCGTGTTGCTCAACCTGCCCGTCATCTGCAGCAGGCCTTTGGCCAGGTCCATGCCCGCCATCTGCACTGACTCCTTCAAATCGTCCAGTGCGCGGAAGCCAATGATCCACAGTCTTTCCAGTCTCCCTCTTACCTCCTTGAACGTCCGCCCCGGCATCAATTCTCCTAGGCCCGCCACCGCTGCCTGACGTTCTCGCCATTTACGGCTCCCCGCAGCCTCACACAAGTCGTCCAGGATGGGATCCAAATACTTTTTCACCACCTTCTTCCCACTGCCACTCCCCCCTCGCTCGCTACCCTGCCCGGTCGCCTCTACGTCCCCTTCGGCAACTGCCGCCGCTGCAAGCACACTCTTCCAGACCGGCTCCATTGCCTGACGGACAGCCTGGGTGGGGTCGAAGCGGGCGCGGTAGAGACGAGGGACCAAACGGGGGAGTAGAGGCATGAGCGCACGCTGGAGCTCCTCCTCTCTGCCCTCCCCCGCGGGGCCGGGGGTCCCCTTCGCGTACAGCCCGGCGCGGCGCCCGGCCCAGGAGGGATGGGTGGAGGGGAGGGCCAGGAAGTAGTAAAGGAGCTTTGGTTGTCCGAGGTCGGTGGCCATGGCACAGAGCTCGCGGAAGGGGTTGAGAGTGCCCACGTCCATGTTGGTCTGGATGGGGGGGAGCTGGGAGGAAGGCGTATTGAGCTCCAGGTGGGTGGGGTTGGCGGTGGCGGAGGGACCGCGGAGGAGGAGGACGAGGGCATTGGTCAGCTCTTGAAGAGCCGTGCTCGGGATGGGGGCAGTGGAGGGGATGGTGGAGGAGGAGACCTGGGGGCCGTGCCCGACGAGGCAGCAAAGCACACCCAAGGCCTTCCCGCTTGCCTCCTGTCCCAGCTCCGACTTGTCCCGCAGGAGCGTGACGAGGACCTGCTGTGCCTCCAAGAGGCGCGGGAGGGACAGAAGAGCGGCCGTGTCGGTCTCGGTCTGCGCCGCGGGAATCGATGCGTCGGACGCCTGCACCGCCCCGCTCTGGGCCCCCGTCGCGTCGTGGCTCTCTTCCACCTGTACCTCGCGCGCCATGTCGCCTTCCCTATCCGAGGCCGCGGCCGCCTCCCAGAGCAGCACCAGCAACCACAGGGTGGCAGCGGCCCGAACGTGCGGGCTGTTGTCTCTCACCTTCCCCTCCACAACACCCTCCCACACCGACGCAAATACACATACGTCCCCTCCCAAGGCCAAGGCCGCCAGGGCCTGTCCCACCGCGAACTGATATTCGTCGTCACGGACCGCTCCCATGGCGAGGCAGGCGTCTACTGCCTCCTTGCGCAGGGGAAGGGAGCTTGCTCCCCCCGCGGCCAGGGCGGCAAGGCACGCTGCCGCGGCTTCGCCCCGCCGCTCTTTCCCCGCCCCCCCACCTGCCTGTCGCACCTCCGTCAGGAGGGAGCGGAGGACCCCCGGGACGCTCTCGCCCGCGGGAGAGGGGGAGGAGGACAGGGCGGACGGGGAAGGGAGAAGAGGAAGAGGGGCAGCCCTTCCCATGCACCCGAGACTGAGGCATGCGGCCGCGAAGATTTCGTTCTGGGGGTGTCTAGCGGCGCGGGCGACGGCAGAAGCAGCGAGGACGATGGCGGTGGCCTCCGAGTGGTCTTGATCAGAGGCCAGGGGTGAGGCGGGTGGATAAGAGGGGGGAGACGAAGGGGCTTGCCTTTCCTCTGCCCCGAGTCTGGGCGCGACACTGGTGGCAGCAATCATCTCTCCGATAGCCAGCAACGGCCCCCTGGCCCCGCGCGCATCCCTTCGTCCGAGCGCTTTGTCGAGCATGGCCGTCAGGGCGAAGAGAGCCGTCTTCCGCTTCAAGATCGGCATGCGCGGACCCGCCAGGCCCATGAGCCTCGCCAGATTTGCGCTCACATCCGGATCTTCGTGCGCCACCCAGCCGTAGAGGAATGGGAGGGAAAGCTCAGTGGTGGCCAGGGAGTCGAGGAGGGCGGGGGGCAACAAGGGCGGGAGGGCGGCAAGGAAAGCCGAGGCGGACCGGTAGAGGA